AACAAAATAGCCAGGCATTCTGGTGGGGTGCCTGAAGTCCCAACTACTCAGGAGGCTAAGGCAAGAGAATCGCTTAAGCCTAAGAATTTGAGGTGCTGTGAGCTGTGATGCCATGGTACTCTACCAAGGGCAACATAGTGAGACTCTGTCTCAAAAAAAAAGAAAAAAATTAATCAATGTATTTTATCATATTAGCAAGTTAAAACTGAGAAGCCAGATGACCATCTCAGTAAATGCAGAAATAGTGACAAAATTCAATAATAATTGATTTAAAAAAAAAAAGCAAATCATGTGAAATTTACTAGGTGTAGAATATAAATGTCTTAACACAATAACTAAGAAAATACTATGAAGGTTATGTTGACCAGTTTGATGAAAGCATTTCAAATTGTATGTAAAACGAGCACACTGTACCCCAAGATTGCATTAATGTATACAGCTATGATTTAAAAAAAAAAAAAAGCAAATAACAACAAAAACCTCTCAGCAAAGTAGGAATAAAAGAGAACTACCTCAGTCACTGCCAAGGTGAAGATAGGAAGAAGGAATGTAAATTCAAAAAAGATACAAGCCAACTTTTTTAGGTGATAAAAATAGTCCATAACTTGGAGGTTATATGAATATGTATCAAAATCTATTAAAGTATACACTTAAAGTCGTGAATTTTATTGTACCTAAATAAGAAAACTAAAAGTATGGGGAGGGAGTTGCATAATTGCTTCACTCCATTATGAGAGGAACAGGTTAAAGCAGAGCAAGCTCAGAAGTGGAGAGGTCAGTTACAATGAACTGTAAAGATTCAGGTGAGAGATTTTAGTGTAGACTAGAGTAGTGGTAGTGGAGACAGAGGAAATGTATGATCATGGACAGATCCCACAGTTTGAACAGTGGTATCCTGACTGAACCAGAGATAACTTTTTTTAAGCAGGTCAATTCAGCAATAATGCTCTGGCTCCATTCATAGGGGCCAGGAGCCAGTTCTTTAATAATTTTATAAGTACCTAATTTCTTATATTAAATCTCTTTGGGCTTAAAATAGCTTTAGTGATACATATTATTGCTTGCTGACTAATACATTAACCAATAGTCAAACTGGTGAGAGCTGCAAAACTAAAAAGACAATTCAGTCGGTTATACTGGTCTGATATCTGACAACCATATACTATTTGAAGTAATACTAAATGAGAGGTGCTGTGGTCAGAATGTTGATGTACCCCCAAAATTCAAATGTTGGAACTTAATACCCAATGTGATAGTATCAAAAGGTGAGGCCTTTGGGAAGTGACTAATTTATGAGGGCTCTGCCCTCATGAATGAAATGGATTAGTGCCCTTATAAAAGAGGTTTAAGGGAGCTAGCTATTCTACCTCCTTTTCAACCATGTCAGGACACAGAAAGAAGGCACCACCTTTTTGGAAGCAGGGAACAGGACTTCACCAGATACCAAATCTGCTGGTGCCTTGATCTTGGATTTCCCAGCACCAAGAGCTATGAGCAATTTCTGTTCTATGACCCAGTCTATTGCTGCTGGTATGGACTAGGACAGGAAGTAAATGAAGTCTGAAAAAGAATAGGCATACAGCCAGGCAGTGGCTCATGCCTGTAATCCTAGTACTCTAGGAGGCTGAGGAGGGTAGAGTGCTTGAGCTCAGGAGTTTGACACCAACATGAGCAAGAGCAAAACCCCATTTCTACTTAAAAAAAAAAAAAATAGAAAAACTAGCTGGGCATTGTGGCACACATCTATAGTCCCAGCTACTTGGGAAGCTGAGCAAGAAGACTGCTGAACCCAGGAGTCTGAAATTGTTATGAATGATGATCCTATCACACTCTATCCAGAGTGACAGAGTGAGACACTGTCTTACAAAAAAGAAAACTGCATGCATACAAGATAAAACCTCAATTCAATTCAAGTTGGGGGAAGGGGTTTCATATTAGTAATGAGAACATAGGATTTTTTCCCCCTCATTTTTGTGATATTTGCTAAGAAGAATGTGTTTCAACTCCATCCAGGTAAACATAGAAAATGTAAAGTTTCCATCTGAATAGTAACCCATGGTATACATATATATAGTTTGTTAATCCATTCATGGGTTAACGGGCACTGAGACTGATTCCATGTCTTGGCAATTGTGAACTGAGCTGCAATAAACATTCTAGTGCAAATGTCCTTGTGGTAAAATGATTTTTTTTCTTTATGTTTCCTATTATGCCATGCTTCACCAAGTTAGCCAAATCATGTCAAGGCTTCACTCTCTCTAAATATCCCCTTGATTCTCTTGCCTCAGCCTCCCAAGTAGCTAGGACTACAGGCACCTGCCACAACACACAGCTATTTTTTGGTTATAGTTGTCACTGTTATTTGGTGTGCCTGGGCTGGATTCGAACCTGCCAGCTCCAGTGTATGTGGGTGACGCCCTAACTGCTTGAGCTACAGGCGCCGAGCCTGTATTTTTGAGCACAGCATATCATCAGGGGACCTTAGAGTATAGCCATTATTTTACACATAAGAAAAACGTCAACGAAGTTGTAACTTGATGAAGATTGTACACACAGTGCAGGAGAAGAGAGGTTATATCAATTTTTTTTTTTTTTTTTTTGAGACGGAGCCTCAAGCTATCCCCTGGGTAGAGTGCTATGGCATCACGCTCACAGCAACCTCCAACTCCTGGGCTCAAGCGAGTCTCCTGCCTCAGCCTCCCAAGCAGCTGGGACCACAGGCGCCCGCCACAACGCCCGGCCATTTTTTGGTTGCAGCCATCATTGTTGTTTGGCGGGCCCGGGCTGGGGATTCAAACCCGTCACCTTAGGTGTATGTGGCTGGCGCCTTAGCCGCTTGAGCCACAGGCGCCAAGCCTATATCAATTTTTTAAAAACCACAATGCTATTCTGTGAAAACTCACATGCCACATGAAAACTCTTACCATTAAGAGTTACCAGTTACTTTGTAATCATTAAGAACATACTAGAAAAACTGTTATATGATGATATAATAACAAATGACATCCTTGTCATTCCATTAGAAAAACAAACATAATAATTTTTAAAATATATTTCATAATTTGCTAGAATATTTTTTAAGCAAATATTCCATATTTATGTATTTCATTTATGTGGTATTCTAAATCTAATTTTGAAAAAATAGACTATCATTTAATTCGACTATTTACAAACATGAAATATCTATAAGATAAAAAATATCTAAGGTTAAAATGATCCCTACTGATAAGAAAATAAGTCAATCAAGTTTAGGTGTTTTTGTTTTGAGAATGATATATTCTACCAAACTTGTATAAATGGGCAAAGAATAATTTTCGGGGCTACTTAAATGTACCTTCCACATAATCAAAATGAAGATATTTTCACTTTTGAAATAAAGCTCTCTTTTGAGTAATACAAACTTTGTTCACTTTAAAGAGAAATTTGTTATGCTCTAAACGTTTTTTTTCCATCAAGTCAATAACCTGCTTTAGTATACATCTGTGAACTGGGGTAGCTGGAGGTTACAAAGGTCATTTAAATATTGGAAGCACTCTGCCAGAATCGATGACTTTCTTAGTTGATATCTGAGTTTTAAAGGGGTTATCTCCTTCAAACTTGTGTATCCTTAGAGAGCAGTACTAGAAGAAATTAGTAGGTCTAATCCTACCAATGAGAAAACTACCACTTCTTTATTTTTACAATTTTTAAAAAATCTTTTCAGTTAATTTTCTTTCCAATGTAAATACAAATTTGAACCTAGGCATAATATAGGCCCTTCCCCCTTCACCCAAGATTTTACATTTATAAATCAATGTAAAATCAATAATCCTAAATGATCTGTGGATAAAAATAATCCGGAACATTTCTGGAGGGTGAGCTGGCATGCAAAAGATTACACTGACTGTAGTGTGCTCTGGGGCTTGTTCTGTTCGACTGTGTCAGACAATGCAAAGTTGAAACGGAGCGTGGAAATGTCTTTCTAAATCTCAAACTACTGGAATCAGTGTTTTAATCTCTTAGCAGAAACTTTCAGTTGCTTAACTCTGTATTTGAGGATTTTTTTAATGTTCTATATCATTTACATTGTATTACAATGTATGTAGAAACAGTAACCTGTGAACTATGCTTTTCCATATAACTTTTTAAAAATATACATATCTAAATGAATGTAATGTGCATAAATATTTTTTAAATGCAACAGTGAACAATTGCACCTTTTGCTAATGCCTCTACTTGCTTTGGCATAAAGAATGAGCCAATGGCTCGGCGCCTGTGGCTCAAGTGGCTAAGGCGTCAGCCACATACACCCAAGGTGGTGGGTTCGAATCCAGCCCAGGCGCACCAAACAACAATGATGGCTGCAACCAAAAAATAGCCAGGCATTGTGGTGGGCGCCTGTGGTCCCAGCTACTCGGGAGGCTGAGGCCAGAGACTCGCGTGAGCCCAGGAGTTGGAGGTTGCTGTGAGCTGTGATGTCACAGCACTCTACCCAGGGGGTCAGCTGGAGGCTCTGCCTCAAAAAAAAAAAAAAAGAATGAACCAATGAACCTCTGTATCCTGTGGAAAAATGTATAAATGTTACCTGATATTGCTCTTAGATGTAATGCTAATTAATGTTAGATCACAAATAAACAGTATTTTAAATATTAAATAAATAAATACATACATACATACTGGAAGCAAATTTAGGGCAAAGGGACCACCGAGTATATTTCTTTACTCCCTCTTGGGCCAATTGTTTTAAAAAGACTTCACTTTACTAATCTAGTAATTAAAACTATAAAATAAATTAGGATGTTAAAATTAAACTCTCAAAAAGAATTCTGAATAAGCACGGAAAGCCAGGAATAACCAGTGCTACCCCAGAAAAGTAGGGAAATTAGATGTTTAATGTAGCCATTATTCAATAGGTCAATGGGGGTCATGAAAACATTTTATTCAGAGCTCAGTAAAACACAATGAATACAAATTATTTAAAAAATGGCATTCCAAAACTGAGTTAAAGAAGAGATATTTACCACATGGGCTGATTGTAGAGCTAAGTGAAGCAACTCCAGTGGAAAGGCTGCATTTTGAAACTGCTGAAGCCACAGAAGGTGTAGAGGATGAAGTTGGTGGAGTAGAGGAGGCTGTCGAGGATGGTAACCGTTCTCCAGACTCCATATCTATGAGGGGAGGCAAATTCTCAGTATTATATAAGGAAATTATTCAAAAGAATTTAAAACATTTAAGCTTTTTATGTACTTAAAAAAATTAGAAAAATATGTTCTTCAGAAATATATTAAATAGATAAAAATATATTTAAAAATACCAATTTATAAAACAAGTTTAATGTAAAATATACCAAATCTTCTCCTAAAAGATATTCAGAGTTTTCTTGTATCAAACAAATTTTGAATAAAGTAATTTCATACAAACGTGTGTATGTATGAAAATTAATATGCTACATTCTTCTTATTCTTCTTAAATCACCTCATCATCTATTCACTCACAAAATAATTTTCATATTATCTAACAAATCAAGAAAATAACCACCACATTTGAATGGACCGCATCTTTGTCTTCTAAATTCAGATAGCAATATATTTAAAGGTCCTAAGTGTCCAAGAATTTGGCCTGGAAAATCCCTAAAACGGTGAGCCCCCTGACCTCCTCCTAAAAAGGCAAATACATTTTAGAGTTTTTACTGAAGTCAAATTCAAACCAGAATTTCAAAATGGCCTTAGTGTGACCCATTTATAATGACAAAACCACTTCTAAGCATCTTTATTAATTTGTTTAGCTTTCGTGGATATAATGTTGCATTGCTTATAGCAATAGTTGATGTACATATTAAAAATCCAGACTGCAATAGGTTGTGGTCAATTAAATACAATATGCCTGTATTGATCACACAATTAAGCAAGGAGATCATAAGGTTTGCAGATGATTTAAGGATTACACAATCTACAGGGAAAAAAGGATACTATTCAACTCTAAGTGAATTTGTCATCAGCAATATGAACTCCTACCATTTAAATAATGAAACTATAGAAAGACTCCTGTATTAAGTTCTATAGCTAATTCACATAATAACTATATATTTCCTAAGAAAAATAGTTTGATTTCATTTTCAAATATTGACTAATTAAAATAACACAGGCTAGTGTTTAAATGTTGATCGAATCTATGAAGCACATATATAATTTTTCTCATAACATGATACATATAAGGTAATCTTGGACTGACTAACACACAGCATCATTAGGAAGCCCTAGCTTTTCAAGCATACTAATTCAAAAACTTCTCTTCATATTCTGGTATTGCTGTCAGTAAAATCCACAGATAATAGTATTGCAATGATGAATATGTCCATATTCTTACAGAATCTTTATCAGCATTCATCACTGGAAAGGCATAGTTACCACTGATAGCTTCATGGAACTTATGTTTAAAGGGCAGGTTTGGGGTCATAAATAGGCACTAACAAACTCTGAGATATATGCCTGTTTGATGGTATGGCCCGTTCCTGACACATTTCTCTATAAATTATTTTCACCAAGCCTCATTTCACTGAATACAAAAACTGGATTTTTAAGCTAGAAAAAGTTTATAGAAAGAGGCTATTTTCTTCTTCATAGCTAGTAACATCATTTGTACCACTGAAATGTATTATTTTACAAAAACAATGAAAGAGTTTTAAAAAATTGTCTTTGTATTCTATAGCAAAAATAATGTAGTGACATTAAGATAAGCACTTTGAGTACTTGGCATATAAGAGCTCAATAAATAACAGCCACTACCTTTTTTAATAGAATATCATGCTATGAAGTCTAGGTTTCTTTTGTTAATGTAACTTGGATTCAGGACTGAAGGAAAACCCAGAAGGCAAAATAAGCAGTCTCCTATACATACTGCTCATTGGAGATGAGACTTTTTTTTTTTTTTTTTTTTTGAGACAGAGCCTCACTTTGTCACCCTGGGTAGAATGATGTGGCTTCAAAGCTCACAGCAACCTCAAACTCTTGGGCTCAAGTGATCCTCTTACCTCAGCTTTTCAAGTAGCTGGGACTACAGGCACCCGTAATACCGGTCTCCTTTTTAAAGATGGGGTCTCGTCCTTGGTCAGGCTGGTCTGGAACTCCTGAGCTCAGGTGATCCTCCTGCCTTGTCCTCCCAAAGTGCAGTATTACAGGAGTGAGCCACCATGCCCAGCCTTTGAGTTTACATTTCCTGAAGAATTTTAATCAGGGGCCAGGTGAGGTGGCTCACGCCTATAATCCCTTTGGGAAGCGAAGGTGGGTGGATTGACCGAGCTCACAAGTTTGAGATCACCCTGAGCTAGAGCAAGACCCCTATCTCTAAAAATAGTCAGGCATTGTGGCAGACACCTATAGTAGCTACTCGGGAGGCTGAGGCAAGAGAATCGCTTAAGCCCAGGAGTTTGAGGTTGCAGTGAGCTGTGATGCCAGAGCACTGTACCAGGGGTGACAAAGTGAGACTCTGTTTCAAAAATAAACATATAAATAAATAAATAAATAAGAATTAAATAGGACCAGGCCCTGGTAGTTCACATCTGTAATCCTAGCACTCTGGGAGGTTGAGGCAGGTGGACTGCTTGATCTCACGAGTTCCAGACCAGCCTGAGCAAGAGTGAGACGCTTTTTCTACTAAAAATAGAGAAACTAGACAAGCATTGTGGCAGGGTGCCTGTAGTCCCAGCTACCTGGGAGGCTGAGGCAAGAGGATTGCTTCAGCCCAAGAGTTTGAAGTTGCTGTGAACTATGATCCCACAGCACCTTAACTTGGGGCAATAGAGTGAGACTTTATCTCAAAAAAATGATAATTAATCAGAATATTTATTAAAATTATATACATATTTCTATGTACACACATACATACCCATTCTTGGATCTTATAGTTCTACTTTTGAGAATCTGAAGTACCAGTAGGTAAGGTAATATATACCAATTTGTTTCTTATAGCATTATTTTAAAATAAAATTTAAACCTACCAGTAAGAAAGAATACAACTAAATCTAGCCATAAAGTTGGGGTTCACTTTTAATTTCAGTAAAAGTATAATTTTCTCTTTTTCATTCTTTTTGCTCATATAAATGAGAAAGGGCTTCGCTTTTTCAGAACATGCTTATGCAGTCATTTCCCTTAGAAGTTTTATTACATACATAATTCATATGTATATAATGGCTGAGTATTCTCCTTGTATGTAAAATACTATTCTCTTGTACTGGCCTTCAGTTGTTATTGCTTTTAATAGGTATTTAATAGGTTATTTCTTAGTTTCAGTAGCTGGCCTAAATTTAATCAACTACTCCATGTTCATCCCATCCTTTTTTAAAATTTGATAGAAATAACAAATCTATTCAAGCCTTTGCTACACTTGAATGAGGATTCTTTTTAGGATTAGCTCTTTCCATTTTTAAGTTAAATCCTGCTTTTGGATATTATTTACTATTACTCCCTGCTAAAGCACAAGTATAGCTCTCAAAGAAATCATGGTCATCAACTTGAAAGTTAAAAGGTAAGAAGGCAAACCTTTATAATTGTGAATACTCCACAAAACAACCACTTGCTTATCACATCTAAATAACTATTCAAAGAACAAAGTTTAAGTATATATGCAGGTTTGGCTTCTGTACCTCAGTGGTTAGGGTGCTGGCCTCATGCACCAGGGCCAGTGGCTAAGAACCCGGCTCAGGTCTGCTAAACAACAACAACAAAAAAAATAGCCAGGCATTGTGGCAGGTGCCTGTAGTCTCAGCTACTTGGGAGGCTGAGGCAAGAGACTCGCTTAAGCAGAAGAGTTTGAGGTTGCTGTGAGCTGTAATGCAACAGTACTCTACTAAGGGTAACATAGTGAGACTCTGTCTCAAAAAAAAAAAAGTATATAAGCAGCAAGGAATGCTAAAGTTTAAGGAGAACTATCTCCTTCAAAATATTAATTACATAAAAAGAGAAAAGGTATAATTTTCGTGGGGAAACTACATTACCTATCATAAAATTTTTTTGACATCATACTTCTCTGGTGCCCTGAGAAGAGCATAATACCTTTGTAGTAATACTTTAAAACTCAGTCAAATCATGAGAACAACAGACAAATCTAAAATGAAGGGCCATATCAAAATAAGTGTCATTAAGAGTGTGAAGGCCATGAAAGAGAAGGACAGACTGTGAACTGCCACAGGTCGGAGACTAAGGAGACACAAGCAAATGTGACAGGGAACTCTTAGGTTGGATTTTGGAACAGAAAAAGGACGCTGGAAAAACTGATGAAATTCATGTAACATCTAATGTTTAGTTAATAGCATTATATCAATATTAATGTCACTATGTTTATAATTTTGATAATTGTACTATGGTTACACAAGTTATTAGCAGAAGCTGAGTGAAAAATATATGTAAACTCCCTGTATTTGTTTTTGCCTTTGGAGTCTAAAATTATTCCAGAATAAAAAGTAAAAAATGCAAACACAAAGTCTGCCACATAGTAAACTCTCAAAAAAATATATATATTAGTCTGATTTATTTTTTTTTTTTTTTTGAAAAAGAGCCTCAAGCTGTCACCCTGGGTAGAGTGCCGTAGCATCACAGCTCACAGCAACCTCCAACTCCTGGGCTCAAGCGAGTCTCCTGCCTCAGCCCCTGAAGTAGCTGGAACCACAGGCGCCCGCCACAACGCCCGGCTATTTTTTGGTTGCAGCCGTTTGGCAGGCCTGAGCTGGATTCGAACCCGCCACCTTAGGTGTATGTGTCTAGCGCCTTAGCCACTTGAGCCACAGCTGCCGAGCCTATTAGTTTGATTTAAGCATTCCATATTATATATCAAATCATCTAACTGTACCTCATGAATGTATACAGTTATGATTTAATAAAAATTAAGTATATATATGCTCATTGGAGTTCAAAAATGTAAACCTAAATTTGAAATACAGATTACATTATGTCAGTGAGATATTGTATACTGTGTTCAAAAACTGTGTCTGCATCTTGTTAGTCATGACCTTGTGAAAATTATGTAATTTCTCTGAATTCTCAATTTCTTTATGAGAAATAAGAAGATGATATAGGTCAGAGGATTAAATGAGACAATGCATGTAAAATGCTGTATGCCTAGCATTCAATAATTGTTAACTATGTTTTAATTAATGAACATCTGTATATATGGT